GCTTGAGTAATTTTTCTTAAAACTTTTTTTTTTTAAGAGATAGTACAATACATGATAGGTATCTCTCTTTTAACTTTTCTAGGTAGGATCCGTAATTATTATATTTTCTAAAATAGAAAACACATTGCAACTAAATGGTATCACCAGGGTTAGCTAGTGGAATATTAATGAAGGGAATGTCAGAAAAAAGAGGAAGCCTAAAAATGCATTTCATTTTATTGCACTAAATAAGGTAAAAGTTTCAGAAACTTTTATTAGGGATACTTGGAAAAAGTTTAGGAGCTAAATGACATGAATTTATAGAGAAAACCCAGAAAATAGAGAAAGTAGTTTCTTCTGGACTTCAAGTTTGGATATACCATATAAGTTGAACACTATTGGTTGAAAATATTACCTGGAGTTTGGAGAGTTCTTGCATGGAAGGCTGTTCAATCTGCAACTTGTCACCACGTCTTTTTAATTCAATAATGCCTGCATCCAATTCCTTCAGCCCATCTTCAGCCTGTTGTATTGCCTATGTAAAATTTATGACATTTCATTAAAACTTGCAGGAACAATTTCTCACACAAAACTGCATTCTTTTGTCTTTTCCTTTTTTTCCTCTTCCTTCCATGTAAAACTTCTCCAATACATATGAACAAAATAATTTCAATAAAGCACATAAGCCATGTTGTTGTTGTTGTTATTTGCCCTCGAGTTGGACCTGACTCCTAGCGACCCCTCCTTGGGTTTGCAAGGCAGTATCACTACAGAAGTAGATTGCCCCACCTTCTATTATATAGAAAAGCGATGGAAGCCCTTTATTACACTACAGATCAGCTATCATAAGGTTCAGGAGGCAGGAGAGAATTAGGGGGATTGGAGAACAATGGATTTCTTCAATAAGTAAAGGAAATCATGAATTGTAACATCTGAAAGTGAAGTATGGTACAGATCATAGTTAGGAAAAAGTGTTCGCCTAAGATTTTCCAGGGTATCATCTTCTGGTTTGTTATATAATGCAGTCATGAATGTCTTTGGAAGAAACAGGAAAATATCCTACAGTACAGTTAGGAAACACTTGCTTAGTGTTGTGAACTGAAAATCGATCTATCAACAAGTATTAAAATGCCTCGGTCTTCTCAGTGTGTAGTTTGTGGAAGTAGAACAAGATCTCATCCTGGCCTTTGGGGGCTTTTAGCAGGGTTAGACAGCCAAGGTAAACAGAGGAAAACAAAACAAGGATGAACAGAATTAAGTGCTAATTGATGATGGAAACCATCCTTTTCGAGGAGAGAAGGTAGACATTGGTGATGTTGAAGCAGTCTAAGTAGGCTTTTGGACTCTTAGTTCAAGGGCAACCTTAGTTGCCCTTGAAGGATGAAAGGACATAGACACCAGATGGCAGAAGAAACATGTGCATCTAATTTCCTTTCTCCTGAAACCCCATTACAACCACACCTAAGATTTTTTTCTTTCTGTATGTGTTCCCCTTCTCTCAATAAATCTACAAGGACAAGGAAATGGAAGGAAGATAATAGAAACAAAATTTTGGAAGTTGGAAATCAGGATACTTGAGAATTGACTGAGTTGAGAAAGAGGAAAGTTGAGAAAGTTGCAGGGTATGGTTCCAAATTTACAACAATAAGAGTGTTTGGAGTTCTGGGTGAAATGGGATGGGACTGAAACAAAAGGGTTGGTGAAAAGCTGTTTAAAGAGCAGGCAAATCTCTAGATCCTCTTTCTCATCCAACATTTCCTCTTTCCTTTCTCAGGAAAAATTGGAGAGCTTATTTTCTAGAGAAGGTAAAAGTTGTCTCTGGATTGAGTGACACCAGACATAGTGTAGGCTTG